GTACCCCCTCCCCCCCCCCCCATTACCCCCCTCTAGAAACAATAGATAATGAGGCATGTCAGCCGATTATCTATTGTTTTTAATGCGTTCGGCACATGAGAAAGCGCGACGTTTGAAACAGGACTAAATTCTGGTTATTGTGTTAAGGCTAGTTTCCACTCTGGAATATTATCCGTGGATTGGAACGGACAAGAAAATTTTTCTTTGTGTTAAAGTCATTAGTTCCAACCCAGAGCTCACAAGACAAAGAAAAACTTTCTTGTCCGTTCCAATCCACGGATAAATTTCCTGAGTGGAAACAAGCCTTTATACAGAAGCTGCCTATTAATAGTATTATGGTTTCGTGTTCCTCGCGCCCTTTCTTGCACGGAAACTACTTCAGTGAAATTAATGCCGAGCCGTAACCTGAGTATCAGGCCGTACTTTTTAGGGCACAGGCACGCCTGATCGTGGGCGAAGGGGAGAAAAGTACGGCCTGACACAAAAGTGGCATTTTGCCTGGTTGTTCAGTCCAGAATCTGGACTGAGCGCTGATTGGCCGATTAGACAAACGATTTTTAAATCTGTCAATTGATTGGCTGGTGCTAATTAGATTATACTATTGTTGTTGATATATTTTATAATGATCACAATTACAATTATAGCCGGCCAACTAAACGGCTGAATTTAAATTAAAACTGCAGTAAAATTAGAAAATAATCGCAAATTAGCGAAATATATTGCAAATGTAGCTTATATTAAATCGCCATCAGATTGCACTATCGACTGACGTATAGTTATAAAGTATACTTCTAAAGTAATATCTCTGCGGAGGAGAGAGCAGTCGGGTGGCGATTTAATATAAGCTACATTTGCAATATATTTCGCTAATTTGTGATTATTTTTGTTAATTTTATAAGTTCATTGCAGTTTTAATTTAAATTCAGCCGTTTAGTGGGCGCCTATGCTATAATTAGATTGTTGTTGCCGTTGTGTGAAATTTAAATTTCTCCTGCGACATTTTGATTGGATACTAAATATAAACTTTGCTGTGGGCGGAAAGCGATCAGGTTAAGTTTTGTGTCAGGCTCTATTTGTAAAATAGAGACTGATACTCAGGTTAGCCGAGCCGCATCTGATAATGCCAGTGGTGTAGCCAGAATTTCTAGTCATACATAATACATAACAACTCTGCTTAATCACAAACGAACCCAGAACAATTAAAACATAACAAGATATAAAATTCCATTACAAGAAATGAAAATATAATGCACATGCTTGTACTGTTTATAATTATTTTTC